AGAGAGGATCATAAGAGAGATGTCTGGCCACTAATTGCGTTGCAGTCTTTCCAAGGCACCAAGCACCCAGGAACTTCTTATTTTCACAGCTCTTTGTAAAGTTAAATGGACTGTGAATAAAAGTGGATACCCTGACAAATATTAACCCAACCCCGACATAGGTCTGGTTTAATATTCTCCTAGATTTGTCCATTAAATACCCTTAGCCTTACGAGTATATACCCTTGAGCTCCACGCGAACCGGGTAATACGATGAAGAACAGAAGTCAAGCCCGAGTTCTTCTATGCTTTGTTCTCCCATCTCCCATCCCCCACTGAGACTGTCGACTCAATTGCTTTGACTTTATTTGCAGCTGTTTGTAATCTGATCTATGCATTTCCCCCCTTTCCCTCTCCTCTCTGAGGGGCGCGTGCTGTCTGGTCTGTGCAGCAATTAAGCAAAAACAAAAACAATAAGAATGCCCCTCAACTATTAAATAATGCTAACACTTATAAATTAACGAAATGACTCAATGAATAATGATGTGGTGTGTGTGTGTGTGTGTGTCGACACTATCTGTGTCAAGTTTGCAGTGCCCCCAATCATGCCACATTTATAACTGTAGATATGATTACATATATGTATGTACATATGTATGTACATATTTATAGGAAAAAGTCGTTCAACTGCAGATAAGCCTCGTGAGACTGCAAACAAATTGCAATTTATCGCATGAAAGCATATTTTATATTTAGCCCCGTGATGAGGGCACAATGAAGGTTCATTTAGAATATTATAAATGGCATATGTGGAGACCTTTGAGCAATTTTAGCATAAAGAAATACCTAATAGATTGCCTTTTGTATTCGTATTTCATATATGGTATATTTATTGCAGTCAGAAAATACCAGAAAGGTTACAAAATTATGTGCAAGCAGTGCATTCTTTGGGTCGGGTATTATTCTTGGAAATTTGAAATTACATACATTTTTTCCTCCCTACATTTTATTCTCTTTCCCATTTTTATGACTTCACTTTCATTCTGTATTTCACCTTTGGTTGCGTGCAACTATTCGCAAGACGGTCTTCAATAATGACGACCTTTAATATGTTCCTCAAATACATATACCATGTTCCATTTCCACTGTGCCAATATTTCCCATTTATTCTCTGTACAAATTTCCCATAATTGAGCGGCCAGAGTCGCTTTGACGATCCCATCTCCACCTATGTATGTATATCCCTCACGATGCGCTCTTTCAGTCTCTCTCCCCCTCTTCTCCCCCCAACATATTTCCCATGCAAGCCACGAAGCAACACAGTTTTAGGAGCACAGGAGATAAGCGAGGTGCCCACACGGTGGTCACATTTCCTTTCCTCTTTTGTATGCCGTGCCTGTCGTTCTGTCTTCTGGGCGGCGAGGAGAATAAATAGCAATAAACGTACAACAAAAAGCACAACTCTATCTATCTATCTATGTATCTGTCTGCCGTCTGTCTCCTCTCATATTTACAATACAAACAACAACAGATACACACACACACACGACAAAAGCATTTCCCGCACGCCCCAACCCATGCCAGGGAAATTGTTTTGTTTGGCGAGAAGACTTACCAAAACAGAAAACATTTCTTGTTCCCTCTCTGCAGACAGCTTACACAGGCCCCCACATTTCCCCGTCTGGGGTCTGCGCAGCTGCTTTTGTTGTTAAAGTCGATTCTGTTGGGGAGTGTACTGTATGGTATTTTCTGGAAGTTATGTTGGCAAAGTGGCATCTACGGAAACATAGGGACAAGTAATAGACCTGTCCTGACAAAAATGTCCCATAAACGATATGGTATGGATACATTGGTTTCGAATGACATAAACAAAGACCATTCCTTTTTATTCCCCCGTCTGGCTTTACAGCTGTTTTTACAAAAGAAATCACTGGATATTTCTTCGACTTTCAGACTACACAGCTGTTTTTGCAATGAAACACCCATCAAATGACTAACAGTTTGTGGAGTACCCTTAACGTCGTCCAGGCGGCAACAGCAACAGTTCTGCTTCCGCTGGTTTTTGCATCGAGTTTCTGTAAAGTCGATATCTGCCACTGACTTTTTTTCCATCTTTTTCTCTCCACTTTTGTCCAGTGGCAGCTGCATTTTTTCACCGTTTCTGCTTCGTTTTTATACTTCTACTCTTCCTGCCGTTGCTGTTGCTGCTGCTACTACTGGTGTTGCACGTTGCAATTATTTTAAACAATTTCCTGCCGCATCGTTGTCTTATGTTGATTTTTAAGCTGGTCGATTCTTTTTTCATGGCTTTGTCTAGAATCGGTGTATGGTGTCTCTGTTCTCTGTTTGATTTACGTGACACGCGTGGTAATTGAATGCCAGTGCACCCAATGGAATGCACTCCAAGGACGGGAAGTGTATGCTGCTGACAGGCGCCTCCCAGCCGGTCTGGGCTGGACTCCCTTCTGCCTCTCCATCAATCTTCTTTGCCTTTTGGGGGTTGTAAAAGATGCCAGGGAAATGGGTATTTTATGCTCCTTTCTTTGGCTCGGCTTTCCACTCTCATTGATTTGTTGAGAGACCCTTGCAACGTGGCCCGTGCCGCGCTTGTGGTTGCAGCCATTAGTACAAAGAGATGTTGCCACCTCTTCAACGTACATTTCTTGGGGGGTAGATTTGTCCTGCGCTCGTCTGGGGCTCTTTAGCTGGCAAAAATTTACCAATATTTCACAAATATTTTACCCTGAACGTGACTTTTTCTTACATTTACCCTTAACCCCACTTTACCTTCCATCTTTCTCTCTTCCTGCCATTCCCCAATTCTTTCACACATTTTAATTACTAATTAGTCACGCCTTTCCCCCAAACGCGATGATGATGATGACTCAATTATTCATCGGTATCCAAAACAGCCACAAAACGCATTGAACCACAGCCAGAGAAACTTCATCATAAAAATAAAAATAAAAGCCGGAAGCTCTTTACGCCTCCACAGCCTTATAGAGAAGGGTTTTCGAAAGAACTTGAGGCGGAGGAACGAGTCGATAGCGCGTGACCAAAAGTCACGGACTGGCCTCAGGGTTGTCACCCCACGCAGGCATCATCGCGAATAGAGAGGCACGTCACGTATTCCAGGAGAGCGGCTAGATTGATAAAAAGGAAATTGAAAAACATATAATGTATTACATACATTTACTAATCGCTGGAAACGGAATTTCTAGAATTCAGAGAGAACAGATTGAAAAATACAAAAAAATGTTAATGGATCGGAAAAGAATTTCCCTAGCAATTAAGAAAATATTTTTACGATGGGAAATATTTACGAACAGAAGTAAATTAGAATATTTTCACACAATAGAAAAAGATATTTTTCAAAATATCAGATGGAAAATTATACTACTTTTGGGGTTTTATCTCATCTTGTTGCTTTCGATATAACAAATTGAAGAGAAGATAGAAAATAAAGTTTCAAAATTCCGAAAATCTTTGAATTTTGTGAAAATATGGAAACAGTTAAACATTTTTGTAAATCAAATTGATATATGTGCATATAAAAACTTTTTTACTTTAGGAGATATTTTAATATAATGAAAATAATAATAATAAATGAAATGAAAATAGTTGGTACTCAGTTGAGGCTTCTGAAACAAGGTGTATCTGCAAAACTACAGGTGCTTAAGGCACGACAGGTACAAAAAACTACCCTTATCTCCTGATTCTAAGATACCCTTGGCTTCGTGGGAAAACGTTATTCACACTAAACTCTGCATTTAGTTGCAATATCACTTATAAATGAAGTTGTAGCTATAGAATGGTAGAAATACTAGTTAATAATAATTTTACAAAGAACTCATTAATTTCGAACCAGTTTTTACCGAATTTTTTTATATCTAATTAAAGCACATTTCCCATCGCCACCGGTATTCCATAAATGTCTTTTCAATTTATGACACAATTTATTTTTATCTTTTTGTGGCAATTAATCTTCAATTTCTAAAAATATATCCATTCCCTCGTGCCTAACTTTCATTTCAGATAAATCCACCTCACTTATACACACACACACACGCACAGAGTGGCACACCCTACACACAAACGGTAAAGTAAAAATCGATGAGCGACATGTGCCGTCTGGGTCTGCATGGAAGAACATCTGTTTCGGGGTAGGAACAGATGGGCGGCGGCAGGAGTTGAGGGTGGGCCTTGGGTGTACACATCATAGTTGTTCCTCCTCTGCTGCCGGGTGCATATTTTGGCCCAAACAAAACCGAAAGTTGGTTGAACTTCACCCAAGTACTTTTTCGACCAATTTGCCGGGTGGCGTGCAACAGCAACAACAATAGCCACAGAAACAGCAAAAGCACCCTCCCCTCCCGACCAAGTGCGAATAGTGCAAAGTGCACATGGAAGGAGGAGAAGAAGGAACAGCAGAACAGCGAGACTCACTGTCCTTGGGCGCAAGCGAGATGGCAAGTGAGATGCGTGGCTGCAGTGTACTTCGTTATAAAAAGTCATAAAAATGTGAAAGTACTGGCTAAACGAGGCAGTAGCTGCTGTGCGGCAGTACGTTCGCCGTGAAATCAATAATGCGTGCACAAAAATAGCTGGTTAACCAGACCAAGTCGTTTTTAATGCTTCAAGAAATACAAATAATGTAGTAATGAAACATATTGTTTTGCCTTTTTTGCTGCACTAGCAGAAAAACCACTACTGCAAAGGAGCTGCTTTCTAGTTTAACATTTTCTTAAGGAGCGACAGAGAGAGAGCACGCAAAAGAGAGACTCCAGAGAGTATGAGGGAAATGAGCAGCTGATGGCGGTGGCATGGCAGAATCCCAGGCAGCGACGGCGACTGCGACCGCGGCTGCTGCAGATTATTGATTTTCAAACAACAAAAGGAACATTTTTGAGGCTGCGCTGCCTAAGATAAGGAAACGCAGCAGCGATAGGTGGCAGAGGGAGGCAGGCAGACACACCTTCCCTCTGAGCCGCGCCCAAAAAACAAACCACAACGATACGCACCTGCAATTACCGTATCCGTGAGCGCGTACTTGGTGCCCGTCTTGGGAAAGTCCTTCAGCTTGCGATTGGTGAGGATCAGCTCCCCGCTGAAGTGCGCCTCCTCAAGGATACGCTCCAGGGATCGCGTCAGCTGCGAGTGGCTCAGCAGCGCCGACGATGAGGAGGAAGCGCCGGGCGACGCGGACGAGGAGTAGGAAATGGAGCTGGTGCTGGGGCTGCCGACGGCGACGCTTTGTAGGCGATGGTAGACCGTGGCAGCCATTCTCGAGCGTGTAGGCGTGGTGGCGGCGGCGACGGCGACACACAAAAACACACACTCGCGCAGGCCAGAGAGGGCCCGGGACGCACTATCAAAGACTTTAAAACGATTAAGCAAAAAGCGCGATTAGATCGTAGGCATTTTGCTGATTTTATTTTAAAATTATTCTAGCGGCTAACGCTATGAAATGCTCATTGATAAGATTTCCGGGAATTGGATTTTCCTTTTGAGGCTTCCTTGCTGCGGCTTCTACTTCTTGTTTATTCTCCTCTCTTCTTCCTCACACACACACACGACCTCCGCAGACGAACAGAATCGAAAAACGATGCGAGCGAACCCATACGACGACGAAAACAAAATACAAAACCAGTGTGACCGCGGACAAATTGACAAAAATATACCGTACGAGCCTCGGAAATATACCACAATATACCGTCTCATTTGAAAAGAATACCGTAAATATACTGACGAATTCTAGTTCTGTTCATGTTCTGTTCACATATTCCACGTTTTTGATATTCCATCGAATATTACTAGCTGTGCTACGATCAAAATCCGATCATCCTTGAGATGATTTAAAAAAAAAAAAAAAAGAATAGTACTAATAGATGAAATTGATAAAATATACCATTATGTACCGATACACCGTCGGTTATTTTGACCTTTAAAAAATACCGAAAAGTTTTAAAAATAACGTAAAAGGTCTCTCTACAAACGAATATATAATAAATAAATATATCGATGAATATTTTTTGTTCATGCACAGGACTAGATTGAAAAGAACCGTTACTTTTGTGCGGATAAGCTCTTATTCTACCAGACTTCAGTCCACCTAACTCTAGTCAGCCACGACCCATCTGATAATCGAGCATCATAAGCTTGTACTGCTTAAATTGGAATTTCATGTAGTTGAGCTTAAGCAGACTATACAATACCAAGATGTTGCATGAGCGACCAAAAAGCTGTTCTATGGCGGGTCCTAACATTAGAACCCAAAAGGCACGAGGGAGCGCGCGGGGTTTCAATTCCCTTTTCGCCTGTACTTCGTCTCTACCGCGACCCCGCTGCCCATCGGTTTCGTCTGTTCGGCAATTCTGGACTCTCGAGCCTCAGCACCGTCGAAGCGGTGGTCGCGGAAAATTCGATTGGAAAATTCTTTATTAGATGCGTACATTAAATTTATCTAAAGCACTCATACAGTTTTTTTACTATTTCGGCTGAGTCCCCACTGTGCCGCGCCAAAGACATCAGCGACCGCGCTGCCCTACGGTTTCGGTACGCAGACGATTCATATTTTGTTTTTGTATTCTTTCTTGAGACACACCGACTCGACGCTGATCGAGGCATTGACGAAGCCGAGTAGCATTTCGGAGGCGAAGGTAGCGTAAAAGAGAATTGAAGTAATAGCCCCGCGCGCCCGTACCATGAAGCGTCAAACGAAAATTGAAAAAGAATTTGTTCCTCATGCAACATCTTGGTATGGTATTGTATAGTCTTTGGATTAAGGCAGACAACGTAGGTGCGGTGGTTTAACAATCAATCGAACAGAAAACATGTGCGATAAATTCGCATCCAAGCAGTCGCACTGTTAAGGATGCTGCCGCTGTTATGTTGTTGTATCAGTTTGGACCTAACCCCCAAGCCATTTCTTCAGTCTGCACTATCGGCAAAGAGGGGTCGAGAGGGGAGAGCCGTGACTTTGCTAAAATCTAGGAGGCAAGGCCCAGACAGAGCCAGAATCTGCTGCCAGTCATGACCCTATGTGTCCTATGACTTGTAATTCTTTCCATTTTTGTCTCAATTTCAAATTTAAATTGTTCTTTTATTATTTGGAGTAAGATTTATTTGCATTTTTGTATGGTTTCCTTATCAATGGACAATTGTACAGCCTTTTACATTTCGAAACCGATATTATATATTAAAACACACGTACATATGCTTTCAAAATTATAAAAAAGCCACTTTATAAAGATATATACTTTTACTGCTTAACAAATTTTTACGAATATAGCCCCAGAGCCACATACGAGTTCACCTTAGGACTGAATTGGGCAAAATATTGAGTTAGTTTGAATTTGTGGAGACAACATATATTCGGAGCTCGAAAAAATTAAAATTGAATAAAAAATTCGGAATTTAATACAAGTGAAATAGTGAAGTTGAAATTCAAAAAGACAGCGTTTCCATTTTATTTATATATTTTCGTTAATTATTCTTCAATACTTTATTTTTAAAGGTAAGTTAAAGAACAGAAACATAGGCCAAACTGCAAATTCCTTCCAAAAAACCGCAAGCTCTTGTCGATGAATGGCGTTTAAAAAAAAAGCCAGCAACGGATCCGGCGGGCAAATCACAAAAAATCAAAGGAAGAAAACAAGAAATTAGGAAAGACCCGAGGATGGATTGAAGGTTGCTATGAAGTGTGAAAAATCTTGCCAAAACTTGTGATAGACTTGCAAGTGAAGGATGCTCTTGTCGGGAGTTAATCTAAAAATTGCACCCAAGTGTGGCATGGGAATAATGTCATGAAGAAATTCTTTTGTGTGGATAGAGTATCGAGAAGGGATTGTCAGCTGAAGCGCATGCGGCGCTCGGATCTCGAGTACCGGCAGTAGCGATTAACCAAGACTAACTCCACTTCATTGGTAAAAAAAAGGTTCAATTAAAACGAGCCATCTGAACAATACAAACGCCAGGGAATAAGGACAGAGCGAGTATACAACAAAAAAGGAAGATCATGGAGCAAGAAATTATGAGGTATTTAAAAGAACATTCATTTTCATGCTGGGAGGAAAAATGGGACCAGCAATACAATACCACAAGTCGCAATTTGTACAGAGACCAATGAGGTTGTATTGCTTGGCCTGGAGCTGCAATCCACCGAAGAAATAGGTAACTATAAGCTGTCCACGATCCGATTCGATTCGATTTGGCTGACTAACATTTGTGTGCGTGTGGTCTCTCCCTCCTCCTTTAGCCTCTTCTGTAAGGGTTTCGGAGATCCCCTGGACTGGTCGCAGGCACAGGCGCAGGAGATTTCCCCACAGGTCATCAGAAAGGAAGTCCCATGTACGAGAATTTTGAATACGAGTACGAGTAGATATTATTTATAAACATTAGCAGATAGTCCGATATAAACAATTCTTTCATTTCGTTTTGTTAAATGCAAAAAAATTCCTCAGAGATATACTTAGTATATTATCCAATCCAATTGGATTCTTCACGGACTCTAAGCGGGCCCCTCGCACAGTGACGGAATAAGGAAAGAATGATATAATCTGTTGTGGATTTTGTATATTATTTTCCACTTAGAAACTTTGAAAAAAATTCGCTTAAACCGTAAACTACGACTAGTGGGGATTTCTGCAATGATGGTAGGCGCAGTGCATAGGCGCAGGAGCTGATTCGCTGATTAACTGGGGAGACTCAAGGATGCAGTTGGGAGTTAATTTTAGCGGATCGGTGGGAATTTTTACAGCCACACAGCGATGCTATGAAAAAACAGAACACACAACACAACAACAACGGCAATCAACAACGCCAAGGAGGCTTCCAGCTCTATAGTTCTCGTCAGCCGCAAGTCGAACTCCGGCAATGGCCAGGAGCTCACCAACGTTTACTAATACTTCGATGTCCAAGTACGCATAGTTATGTAGGCCTTAAAAAGGCCTGCGAACTATGTGTTAAATATAATTACAAAAAGGCTATGATTTTAAGTGATGGATTAGGAGCTATTAATTTAATTAAAAATAAAAATACAGACTCGTACCTAGTGAAACTTGACATTCTATGGGTCCCTGGTCACAAGGGTGTGGCCATCAACGAAAAGACTGACATAGCAGCAAAAGCTGCTACAAGTGAGGGGGTTACAATAAATATAAAATACAGCTACAAGGAGGCTCAAAGAGAAATTAGGAACTTTTTAGTATACAAATGGAATGAGGACTACAGGATGAAGTGTATGCCTCATAGACTATTTCCAGACATACCCAGTAAACGCTGGCATTATTCTCTCAAATGGAATGCTAAAAGCATCAAGACCATTAACAGACTTATGACAGGACACACATACGACAAAGTCTTCCTACACAGAATCAAAGCAATTGACTCAAATATCTGCGAAACGTGCAATGTAACCGAATACGCCGAACACCTGATCTTCGATTGCCAAAGATTTGCCGGGCTCAGAAGGAAATGCAAAATCTTTAAATATTATAACAATTTACATCAATTATTAATCAAAAAAGAGTCGCTACATCTCAGAGAGCTGGCAATCTTCATCAAAACTGCTGACTTAAACTTTTGACCCCTTTTTTCTTCATCATGTTATAAAGTAAATTCAGTTTATATTCTAAAACAGTTAATTAATTTTTTTGTTTTATTTACCGAACTGTCAAACTCGCCAAACTGCATCACCAGTATCTGATCAATGTGGCTACAGTGCTACGATAAAAATTCCGATCATCCTTGGGATAATTTAAAAACCAAAAAAAAAAAAAATACAATAGTTGGAAAATTGAGGATATACACTATAGATATTATGACATTAATTTTTTAAGTACGAATTTATTTTAAAGATAGGCCGGCGGAGCATATTGCGGCGCTGAGGCCGCAAACCTCCGCAACCCCGAGGAGCGGTGTGGTAGACAGAAGTATGATGTATACAAATTTGTTAGTGCGAGTATGGCTGCTATGCATGGTATTAATGTTTAAAGCGTGGCGGTTGTGAAAAACTGCGACGGCGGCGGCGTGGCAGCCCCATATTTATAGGCGACGGCGCTCTGCCTCTGTCGGCAGCGCTGCTCTCAGTTTACATATTAGAGACGGCACCAGTGCTGCCGATTACGCTCTTTTCCCGCAGATGTGGCTTTTTTTGATGACCAAGCGGGGGAAATTTCTATAAATATCGTAGGAATGCGAATCACAAGCTAGCCCTTCAGAGCTGGATGAGTTAATGAAAATTCTATAAAATACATAATAATTATCACTTTATCAGAAAATGGTTAACGCCATTATTTAAGCTTTTTTTTTTTTGTTTTGATTGAACATTTTCAGCCCTTTTTTTTCGATTGTTTTAAGCTAGAAACTTTTTTTTTTAATAAAAAGCGGGCAGCACTCACATATTTTAGTGTGTTTGTGTGCGCAGGCACACGAAGCCAAAACGTATCTTGCTGTACACTGAAAAAATTTATTTCATATAAAGGAAGATGCTTTGCGCCAAACAAAATAAAAACAAAATATTCTTAGGAAACATTAGAATATTATTTCTCTCCCATATATAAGAAGAATTTTAGCTTTAAATTCCGGTAATTTCGAAGCACGCTCAACCCCTATAAGT